ATGTGGGGGGTTTTTTTTGTTGTTTCCCTCTTGTTCATGCTTTCACTTGTGGGGCTCGCTCAGACTCTTATTGCGATCACCCTTGGGCTCTCAACCCAGACTACACAGACCAAATTCAATGGCTCAGAGAGCTATCGGTATAATTCCCCAAAGAGATCAGCTGAAATACAGCATTCCGATAGTGCTAACACTGCACTAGCACTGTCTCTAAATTGTAGGAAGTTTGGTTCCACCACCCATGTTAAATCTCAAGAAGCATGGAAAAATAATAGTTGCAGAGAAATGGATCCACAGCTCTGATGGCTAGCCTAAGTCAGGGCAGAAAAACTACAAATGATAAGGATTAACCCCAGAATACATTGTGTCAACTTGAAATCTGCAACATTTTTCTCACTGCAAGATAAACAACTTACACTAGCTTTAAAGCTTCCAGTACTAACCCGTATTGCAGAAAGTCACTCTACAGCTTCATAACCACTTCCAACCACCAAAATCCCCAACAAATTCAACCAAACCCCATTAGTATATTTTAGACGTAACTACTCGCATGCCAAGAGATCAAACAGATCAATATTCAAGTGCCTACAACAGCTCCCTTCCCAAAGCACATTACAGGTGATGATGACTCACTGAGTGCTCTCTCTCCCCAAAGGCCATCACTTCAATCTGTGCTTTGCTGTATCTCCTCCACTGATTTAGTGTAAGTATTGGGAAGAAAACGTATGTCATAGTTCAGCATCCAACAGTATACTTATAATATCATTTAAGAGAGATAAACTCTGTTTAAGGATGTAGATGAAGCGACCTTTTGGAAGGATTCATCTTACACCAACTTTAAGACACTAATTCTAAGGGGGGGAAAATATCTTTAGGAAGTTAAACCAAAGCATCCTTCAAACCTTCTATTAAAAGGCATAAATTTATTTTTCAAAGTTGTATAAGGCATTAAGAGTCTTCTCCCATCATGCCAGTTCACATCAGATGAAAGTACTCTGCCCTCTGTCTTGACAGGAAACTTCATCCCAGCCTCTTGGACAAGGGAAGCACAGCCTATATAACTAGAGATTTGGCCTTGCCTGGCTAAATACCTGTTTCTCACAACAGTTGCATGTGAAAAAAGAAAGCCCTCACAGGCTACACATACAGGTCATAATGCATGAAATGAGATGCCAACAATTATAAATCCTAAGTATTACGCTTGTACTCCTGTCCTTTTGCTGCCTTGCAAATACCAAACACAACATACAGCCTTAGCCTTAGCTTCTTCCCCTGCTATTCCCTTCCAATACAAATCACCTTTTTTCCATGACACCCTTATCAATAAAACATTTATGGACATCTTCAACAAAATCTCTTGCTAGTACCTTATTTATGGCAAGTTTCCTGTTGAAGTTGCATGGAGACCAAGGAAAACAGTAAAAAAAAAAAAAATCAGAAACCATTGGAAAAATAAAAAAAATCCTCTAGCCCAACCTCCTACTCAAAGCAGCTATGAGGTCAGACCACATTGCTCTGGGCTTTATCCAGTCAGGTCTTGAGAACACCCATATTTGGAGACTACACAGCCTCTCCGAGCAACCTGTCCCAACAGTTAACCCTTCTTCAATCTTTATATTCATGATTAGTGTGCCTACAAAGTTTTCAGGTTATAGTTACCATTTCAAGAGATCGCACAAGTGATGTTCGTGGTTGCCGATGGGCAGGGACAAGGACAGAGTCAGCAGGTCTTGAAGGCCGATGTGCAACTGTCCGAGTGCTGGCCTCTGTTTCAGAGGATCCTGATCTGTGGATCTGACTCAACTCATTCAGTCTGCTAGTCCTCTCTCCAGCAATTAAGTCTCTGATTTTACGTAGCTGCTCAATTGAAGCCTCCTTAGGGAAAACCAGGTGAGTTTCTCCCTGAAATTTAGAGACATTATTTCAACGGTTAACGGAGGCCTGTGCTAGTCAGCGGTCTGTATCTACTGCTAACAGCCACATCGTTTACTGGAAGACAGCACATTAAGGCTTGGCAGGATTCAGCCTTCAGATTAGGTCCCTCAGAGCAGAAGCTTGTAGTCTCCCACAGCAGAAGCCATCAGATCAAGAACTTACAGTCAGTCTAGAGAAAAAGGGGCTCATATAACACGCTTTCCTTAGTAACTTATTTTGCAGAACCCCACATGGACAGCGCAATTATGGTTTGGCAGAGGAAGCAGCAACAACAGAAGCGAAAAGCAAACATTCAGTTCTCACAGCGCGGCAGTGAAACGCTAGCCAACACAGGAGGATAGCCAATGTTGGGGGAAGAAACCCCAAGAATGGAATCTGCTGGGAAGTCTCTTCTATACCGCTATCTTACCCAGCTTGATTTCTGGGTTTCTATTTTTGATTAATGTGATCACTGGTACCATAACAAAAGGTTAATTACGACAGGAGCAAACATCAGTGTACTTAACATGAAGAAAGAGGTTACTAAAAACAGGAACATCCTGAAGTGTTCATACTTTAAGCGTTTCAGTTTCTACCACTGCAGCACTTAGGTTTATTGAACTGAGTTATCTGTTTATCCACAGTTACCTTTGGTCAACTGTCACTGCAGATGCAGTGCTTCACTTTCACACTTAGAATCACCACAAAATTAAATGGAATGTATCAATCCAGCAGAAGACTCCTCGGTTTTTTTAACTGAAAAAGTTGGCTTACCAAGCAGAGACAAAAGAATTAATCATTTGAGTTATCACAGTTGAAGTTTGTGAGCTCCAGCCTTGGTTGACACAATAAGATCTGACAGAAGCACTTCATAACATGTTTAAAATGACTATGCGATTACTGCTCAAGTGCTTCACTGACTACCTCCTGGCTTAAACACATCATTAGAAGTCATCTCCTGAGCACCAGTACAAGAATAAATCTGCAAACCGTTTTCCCCTCTGCAGTCACTATTTCTTTCAGCATACTTTTTTAAAATGAAATTACACTAAATAGCTTCAAGCAAACAGAAGGCAGAGGTTTCATGACTGCTAGACCTAAATAACGTAATGTATGTACCCATAAAGAAGGGTGACATAAGGGAGACAAATGAAGCAAAGCTAGAGCAAGAGCATTGCACCATCACCCGAGCTGCGTTTTCACCGCAGCTCCCCTGTAATTACAAAGGCTGCTTCTAGCTTAACAAGCTTTGGCAGTTCTGCCAAGACCATTTCAGAACACAAAGCAATCTTTGAAATAAATCTTTCTGACTGCAAAAGAACCAAGATTCACGCAATACTATTTTAGGAGACAGTTTCATACCTGTTTTGAATGGGAAAAAGCCCCACCCTCCCACTACTTCAGTAGTCTGTTGCCCTCCACTGCTGTCATGATAACAATAGTATTTCTGCACCTGCACTGTGAATTGGCTGAAAAATATTTCTTTCTTGGTTTTGGGGATTAATTTTTAACCAGATCAGCTTCCCTTATCTGCTCACTATGGGACCATACAAGTCCTACTGATGGCAAGAACAAGCACAATTTTTTTTTTCCCCTCTTCCAAATTACAGTTTCAACACCCATTTATGATATGTAAACTACTCTCTGATGATGCAGTCTGATGTCCACCTAATAGTGAGCTGCTACTCAGAGAAGGTGTTTTCACCCTGTTTCCCACCATTTCCTTTGTGCCAGCAAGGATATATACCTGGCCATTAAGTGAAGTAGTAGTGCGCCTGAACAGGGGAAAACCAATCTTATCACAGATCAGGTTAACTCTAGCTCCACTAGATTTCTGAAGTAGCCTCATCTACATATTCTGTGGGTTGACTGCAGACATTTGCAATCAAGGATTGAAAGAAAATTAAGAAACTAGCAATTGGCTTAAAATCTAGTGTCTTACAACTGGGAAAAGAGAAAAATACAATCCAGTTTCAGTGTGTACACTGATGAGAACATCAGAAATTATCAAGTTATACTCACCTCTTGAAACCCCATCTCAAATAAACATTCAACTGCTCCTCTGACAGGCAACAGCCTTGTGGAAAATGCTGGATTTCCAATCCGAATTAATCTATATTTTTCTTCATAGGGATTCCTGAAGAAATGTAAAGTTTTAATTATGTTTGCAAATTAAGTAAACACTTGAAAGCTGAGTAACTAAGCAGCACTAGCCATTCATAAGAGATTTTTTAAAAGTTAAGTTTCATTCACACCATTTAGGCAGCACATACAACCCATTTAAAACTTTGACTTAATTTATGTCCTTCTGCATTTAACTTTAAGAGTTACAAAATTGGTTCTAAATTTTAGTTTGCAACTTCAGTCCATAAATGTGTGGTTTGTATTCATAGCCAGCAGGGCTTAGTCTGGAGTGACACTTGTAGACAACTTCATGCTCCTCCTCCTCCCCTCCACAGATTTCTAATGGCACCCCTCTACTTGATGCTGGATGGTTTTAGGCCCGCTATGCTAAACTTCCTGGTACATGGGGTAAACTACTGTGGTCTCTTTGCTTCCCAAAGGGCTATCTCTCACTTCTCCCTTCCTCTTTCAGCTCTTCTAAACCTTCTTCTCTCTCTTTTCTTTAAAAGCAGTCAGCCTAGGACCTGCTGTTCTCTGTCACACAGCAATGTTTGCAAATGATTGACAAATCAGATATGGACAGGGAGGGGCAGCTTGTACATCCTGAGTTGCCTGAAGACGTTGAGGTCAATCACATATTGGTGTGGATATATACGCTACTGAGTCACCTTGCAAAAATGCAACTATAATTAATTCCTGTTACCAACCTTACTGAGTCAGGAGTGAAAGGCAACAGAAAAATCAAGGTACTGGTTTAGCATTACTTGTTATGCAGACACTCATTTTTTGCTTAAATGCTTGCAGAATCAAGCCCACTGCTGACTTTTATGCTCAACACAAAAAACATGCCCTCAAACCAATCAGCAATAAATAAATAAAAATCCAAGGCCTTACACACTTGTGTGAAAAGTAATCTTATTTTCAAACGATAGCAAAAAAAAGCAAGATGTGTTTGAACTTCCGTATTACATAACAAACTTGGCTCATCTTTGAGATGGTCTGTCTGTAAGCCCAGAAGCAGACTGCTGCGCGCGATTGTTTTACGATCGATTGCTGCTCAGGCTGCATTAGTGCCCCAACAGACCGGCTGCGCTCACAGACGGACTCTGTCTCATGGAGACGCGCAAGCCAAAGCGCTT